AACAATTTTGTTCTTTATTCTTAGAAGTAAATATAGTAAACAAGTATGTGCCAAAAATAAACACTACATTTTAACCTATACCAAGGTTCTACTGAAAATAAAATTCTGTATTATTTTTCTTTGTCTTTTCCTCCAGTGAGATATTTTGTACCTGTTTTAAGATCTGAAGATAATTCCATCCAGCCAGTGGTTGGAGAACCCTGGTCACCTGACCACACCACTGATGATCTCTATTCCCTTTCTAGTCCCAGTAGTCCAAAAGATCCTGTTCTAAATGTGAAAGCATATGCTGGGCCTATGTCTCCCACACAGGTATCGCAAGCTTCTTTTTTTATTAATGTTATCAAAATTTTATTATGATTGGTTATTTTTCTGCTCTTTAATTTTAAGTTAATTTTTGGTTATAAATTGTAAAGTTTCACACAAGTATCCTCGACAAACTTTGTAGGACTTAGATTAACATTTTCTTCAATTGCAATCAGTTTTTTCAAATTTTTTATCAAATGCTTCTGAAAAGTAACTTTCTAAATTTTTTACATTATTACAGTAAACAATTGAAGTTTGTATCGTTTAATTATTTTAGAGTACAGTAAACAGTTAAAGGTAATTTAGAACAGTTGGGGAAAATGTCCATTTTAGTATAACTCACTTACAAATATGACTGTTAAGTAAACTATTGATTGTTAGGTAGTAAAAAAAATGTACCTAGGCCTGATAGGCTTTGAGAAGTTCCTTTGGGTATTTATTTTATGTTACTGTTAGGCCTATATTTAGAATATAACTGAATTTTGAAACAAATTTGTATTTGAAATATTTCTTGCACAGGTAACCGTAATAAATTATCAAGACAAGACAGTGAATTACAACTTGATGCAATAACTTCAGTGTATTCATGGCCTTAGACATATTGTTGTAGCCTAATAGTGACCCACATCAGGGTTTGCGTGGGTCAGGGAAATCCTGAATAGTCATGGACTTTTATCTGTGGTCATTGAAAGCCATGAAATATTTATACAGATCCACAAACTTAAAAAAAATCAATTTTTGTCATATGCAAATATTTTTGGATATTATTGGACTATATTTTGAAACTGTATTACAATTAAACTCCAACACTGTAGAGGGCAACTAATTCTTTTGAATTTACCCATGTTCTTTGTATTTGATATTCATGCTTTACAAGAAGATGAATAATTGTAATAAAATAACAGGGGATTTAAATTTCAAATGCATGGCTTAATCATGATTTGTCCAACAAATGGATACAACATTCTGTATGGTCAGTGGAAGAATAATGTTATCATTTGTGTATGAAAGCTAGTGATATTTTTGACTCTGGCAAAGCAGTTTTGAAGAGACGTGTTTGCATAAAAGCAAGCGATGCATTATTACTATTAATGAAGTCAAAGTTAACAACTGAGTCCTAACTCTACAGGTTATTGAATACACTTCAGCTACTTCCCAAAACAGGCAGTTTTTTTTTTTTTTCCTGAATTAGATGTTTTTTAGATTTGAAAGCTACAGGAATGTTTGTTTAGGTTTAGGGAGTGCAGATATAGTGGGTATAAAAACATGCCAATAGAAAATAGAAATATGTGTAGGAAAATAAAACAAGTTCAGACTCACTGATTCTATCATTCTGATTAACCGTATAAAAACTGATTAGGGTTTTAATTTTTTTATTCATATTTTTTTATTTTTCTTCATTGCTTATGTCGATAACTATATGTAAATATTCATTGTCTTATTAAATATAGGCAGGAAAATTTTATCGTAAAGCAAAAATTTATTAGGTACATTTACAAGGTTTTTAGATACACAGTAAAAAACATTTTAATTATGATGGAAGTATTTGTTTTCTTAAAACTGTTTCACAACAAAATTTCTAAAACTTCAGATGCTAAAAATTCATGTAAATGCTAAATGTTGTTGTTTTTTATCACATAAATTATATATATCATTTAGAAAGTTTGTTCCATTTCATGCTGTTTGATTTAATATTTTGTTTGTGTAAATCAAAATAACAGTTTTTTGTTGGTTTAACAGACCTGGTCCCGAAGTATTAAATGAAATGAGACTTATTAAACGTAAACATCGTTGATACAGCTATACTTAATATTTTAATCCCAATACTAAGCTAATTGAAATTAGATAGACTACTTTTTTTAATGTAGATTATTTGTTTACATCAATGCAAAAAGTAGTATGAATTGATTGTAACATGTTTCTAACTTTTTCGAGTTTTCAGTTGTATGGGTCTGAACAAATGAAACTATCAGCAAAAATCCTTTGGGTCTTGAAGTTTGTCTTCTCCCACTATAATTACTCAAAGTTGGGAAAACCTTTATAAATTATCTACCAAAATATTTCTAGACAGCAATAACTTATGGACTTACAATGCTAAAATCCAGAGTTTGATTCCCCACAGTGAACACAGAAGACAGCCCATGTGACTTTGCTATAAACAAACAACAAATGAAATAAACACCAGAATAGCATAAAAAGTTTCTATCTGAAGAAGGAAGATGTGTGTGTGTATTTGGCATGGTTTGGCCGGCACTTGATATCTTTTGGTCCAGCTATTTGTTTTTCTTATTTTATTTGAACAACGATGGAAGAAATAAGAGCTTTGGTAGTAATATATGACAAGTCCTGGAACAGATGGAATTCACTTTCAGTTTTGGTATACAAGCAAGAATGAAATTACAACATGATATACTTCTCGTCAGAGATGAGATGCTTCCTAAAATTACAAATGGATTACATCAGACAATCCTTGATAATAGTCAAATTGTGTTAATTGGAAGTGTCACAATATGGTAAGAGAGGAAATACATGAGCAGGGTATAGATGCTAAAATCTTCTTAGATGCTGGCTCCATGTTGTTCATAATGCTTTTCAACATGAAGGAAAGCTCTCACACATGAATGTCAGTGATGTTCTTTCTTGGTTATATTGGCTAGTTGCAGATTCAATTTGAAGAAGAGACAATTAAAAATTTTTTTTATGCTACCTAAGATGGCCCTTTTTTTTATTTGTTGCCAAACAGATCTATTTCAGAATGATAATGTTCACCATGAAAAGATGATTACTGCCGTCATGGCGTACTTTTTAATGCAAGGTACATTGAAAACAGTCATATCGGCAGTCAGACGATTGGAAACCAATGTGAAGAATGCAAAAAATGTATTATGGAAAGTAGATGTTAAACTTACAGTAAACAACCTTTTGAAATTAATAAAATGGAAAAATATAATCAGTGAGAGATAAGCAGTTGGAATTATGATGGTCTTCTCATTTTCCCAAAAATCAACATACAGTTTAGATAGAAGATAAAATCTAATTCTCTATGCTCTGGCAAGGAATCTGTCCTGCCTAGATCAACCTCTTATGGTGTAAAATAGGCAAACAGCTTGTGAACAAATTAAGAATGTGCTGAAAAAATTTATATGATTGACTCTTGTTGAAATACAATTAATTCTTTGAAAAATGCACAAAGAGAAAAGTACTACCTTCCAAGATTTTAACTATATGGTTGATTGCTTGGACTGAGCAGGAAAAAAAAGGCAATAGTGGAATGTAGTTAGAAATTTGCTTGTTATTTCTTACGGATAGGCTAATGTGGAAAAGAAGTACTCAAATTGACAGATTATAGTCGAAAATTGCAAAAACCAATTAGTGATGAAATGGAAAATTCAGACTGATGAAAGTTCTTGAAGCAAGTTAATAATCCAGAAATATGCATTCAATCACCTTCACCACCAAATTTGATTCCATGCAAAGAACTGCAAGTGAAAAGAGAGCATAGACATACAGAATGTGAACATTGAATTTGAAAGATTAAGGCAAAAATTAAAATAACATTAAAGTTTTAATACAGAAGACTCTCATTAAAGCTATCTAAAGTATTTTTTGTAAAATATTTAAATATGAGTGTGTGCATTGTCTTACTTCTTATTTACCATTAATAATATCATTATATTGGGAAAAAACAGTATGTAAAATATTTAATGGATAGAAAGTCTTGGAATTAGTTATCTATAAACTGTATAAATTCTGCATTTCACTGTTGACCTGAGATATATTGTGGTATTATAGTGACCTTGTTTGCTATTCACCTGAAGTATATTGTTCTGATTATCAAAATAGCTCAGTTTACTGTTGACCTGAGATATGTTGTGGTATTATAGTGACCTTGTTCATTATTCACATGAAGTATATTGTTCTGATTATCAAAATAGCTCAGTCCTAAGATGTATTGTTGTGGTATTATAGTGATCCAATTCACTGTTGACCCAAGATACATTATTGTGAGTTAGTTATTAGCAATTCCATTGTTTACCTGAGATATACTGATGTGACATGACATTGAATCACCTCACAGAAATTTTAATGGTCAAGTTAACATACATAAGATTCTGTAGTAATTATTGGTATTTTTTTAGCTCGTGGGGTTTGAATATTGGTATTTTGTTTTCTTGTCTCAGAGTTTCCCGATTAACATGTAACTGTTGAATGATGAGTGTCTCTAGAAGGCTAGAATAAACATGCTTGAAAATCTAGTCCAAAAAGTTTTTTTTTTCTGAAAAGAAGTCATCAGTAAGAGACAGAGACAAACGAGAAAAGTGTATTATAAAGAGATATTAAATCTAAAACTAAAAATAGTTTTTCCAATGTTTTTTTGTGCACTGTTGTGTTGAGACTGCTTGTTTTATATTTTTCATTGTTCTCATCATTTACCGATACCGGTTTGAGCAGTGTTCTCTATACTCTTGTAACTTGTGTATATGGTAGTTGTTACCATGATTTTTTAGCCGGTTTGAGCAGTGTTCTTGTAACTTGTGTATATGGTAGTTGTTACCATGATTTTTTAGCCGGTTTGAGCAGTGTTCTTGTAACTTGTGTATATGGTAGTTGTTACCATGACTTTTTAGCCAGTTTGAGCAGTGTTCTTGTAACTTGTGTATATGGTAGTTGTTACCGTGATTTTATAGCCGGTTTGAGCAGTGTTCTTGTAAGTTGTGTACATGGTAGTTGTTAACATGATTTTATAGCCGGTTTGAGCAGTGTTCTTGTAACTTGTGTATATGGTAGTTGTTAACATGATTTTTTAGCCGGTTTGAGCAGTGTTCTTGTAACTTGTGTACATTGTAGTTGTTAACATGATTTTATAGCCGGTTTGAGCAGTGTTCTTGTAACTTGTGTATATGGTTGTTGTTAACATGATTTTTTAGCCACAGCATAATGGCACATCAAACGACTATGAGTTAGTTTTTTTCGAGTACAAACTTTTAGCTCATGGCTCCGTCATCTCTTGACTGGTTTGAGATATAATTACAAATTTGGACTCCAGAGGTCAAACCCTTCTTACTGATGTATTTGACCACGCCCAAGGTCTCATAGATTAATTGTACTCTAATCGTGCCTAAAAGAATGTCCATTTGAGGGTAGGTGGGTAGAGAGATTGATGAGTAATAAAATTGAATCAGGTATACACGTGCCCCACTGCACAAAAATATAGCTAAAAAAAAGGTATCTTAGATTAATTTACTATAATCCTGCCTAAAAGAATTTCAAGTGCCATGGCTATTGAGGATACCCTTCTTTTCTATAAAACAACCTAAAATATAACAATATTTTTTTTAAATTTTCCTTTACAGTAAATTAGACTTACTTAAAGCTATTAAATATACTTGAGTAATATTGAAATATATTAAAACTTTTCTTGAGTATTATAAGATTTTTTTTGTTCCATAGCTATATCTGCAGAAATAGAAATGAGTAACCATTTCAAATATTTTTAGTCAACACAAGTGATTTTTTTTATAATTTCAGGCCGAATTGTTTTATAAGAAATGGAAAACGCCTCCTTTATTGCGTGGAGATAATGTGGATGTGAAAGTTTTGCATCACATTCGTCTCACGGACCCTGAAAAAGGGTTAGAAAGAGTTGGACGGTAAGAAATAGGAATTTTCTTATAATTTTAACTAGAGCTGGGTGATTTAATCAACTAATCGATATAATAGCAACAATAAAATAGCAACCTGAAAGCAACAATTACATTGAATAGTGGCTTGTAAGCTAATTGATTAATTGAATTATGATTAATCAATTAATAATCAATTGTATTATTAAGTGGAAACTTTGTAAAGGATATACAAACACTGCATTTGTTCTTATTCTTACCATCAGTTTGTCTGATAGCATTTTGTAAATTATGAACTTTTCCTAAAGACTTGTGAAAAAGATCCTTTTTTTTATGTTTTGGCAACTTTTGAGGAGATTTAAATAATACTTCGTGAAGGTGTATAAATATTGAAGCTTGAAATCAGTATAAGGTTGAATTAGTTTCTTAAATAGAATTTTCATTGTATGCAGGTTTTTTACTAGGCATTATTCTTCCTTGTAGAGATCTGGCCAAGCATATGAAGGTGATGTGGTCAGAGTATTGGTTATTTTTAGATTCTTGGTGTGATTTATCATCTCAAAAAGGATTGAAAAAACTAGAAGATCATCTAAAGAAGATGTATAGACAGGTGGTTAATGAAGTATGTATATCTAAAAAAATAATTATTTTAAATTTTTGTTAAAGTTTATTACTTTACTTTTATAGGCACGATGATTTTCAAAAAGGATTGACGAATTTTATGACAAATGTTTGGAAAAATGAGATACTTTTAAATTGTCATTAACTGTGATGTTATTCAAAGTGATTTTAATTTTACAAAATGTATTGTGCCTTTATTTGCAAAAGCATGATAACTATGTACAATCATTCTAGATAACTAGAACATTGATTCATGATCAAGAGATGATAGTGATATGAGTTTAATAATAAAATAGATTTTGAGAATTTCTAGTAGTCAAAAACTTTTTTAAGTGAACATATAATATACACTGGCTATTGTTGAATCAGAAAACATTAAACATATGCCTCTACACTCAAAAGAACACTATTATTAAAAACTGTGGTGATGGCAATGAATATTTCAAAATTAGATAATGATATGTTAAGGATTATCAAATATTTTTTGAGAATAAAAAGGAAAATTGTATTTTGATGTATATTGTGGTATATTTTACATAGATAAATTTGTTTACATATTATTTTGTATTATGCATCTTTTTATAAAACTATTTTATGGAAATATTTTATTTATTAACATTTAAAAACCTGCTGATTCTACAAAGGCCAATTTGATATTTTTTTGCCAAACACGCAAGTCTTATTAGTAAATTACTGTTATATATATTTTTCTTATTGTAGGTTAACAGAGAAAAATCTGGTGATATTTGTGTGACACCCAATATGAACATTCTACAACTTTCACCTCAGTTTCAAGAAACTTCTTCGCCTGATGAATCTGAATGCTTAAACTCATCAAAAAGTACAGATAGTAGCTTAAGTCCAATATCCAAATTGTGTCAGACACTCCAAAAGTTTCATATGACCAGCCCCGAGTCCTGTGTGACCAGTCCCGATACTCCATCTCTGTTCAGCAGGTCTCCAATACCTGATTCATCTGAAGATGATGAAACACGAGACTTCTCGGAAATAACTAAGACTTTACAGTTTGACACTCCTGATCCTCACCACAGAAAGGGTAAACTAACCCATCAGCTTCAAGAAGAAGAAAGGTGTGGTGAAAAAACAGAAAAGGAAGAAAACAGCTTATTAGAGCCTAACACGGAGGTTGCTTTGTTTACATTATGTGATAATGGTGTACATGAAGAACAGGACTGGTATCACTTATCCATGTGTAATATTATAGCAGAAAGACTATCATTGTGTATCTCAGACTTATTGTCTGTCAGTCAAGAACTCTATGCTAACAGCTTTTGGCTTGAACAGTTTATAGTGGATAGAATGATGACTGATGTTGCTGGTCTATTAAGTGCAGTATTGTCTGCTTCTAATACCCCCTCACAAAAGTACTTATCAGCCTTGCACCCTTTAATATCAAAGAAAACGCGTGACATCATCAGAAGTAATCTTCTCGATCATGAAGTTATGATTGTGGCTTCTATTTTAAAGTCTTGCTGGAATTGCCAACCAGATTTCTCTTCATCTGATGATGAAGACCTTGGTGTCTTGTATTCACGTAGATGTAGAAAAAACAAAAGAAATGACACAGTTACCTCAAAGAAACATGTGAGATGTATACTGAACATTCTGAAAGGGGATTTATGTGATGAACATGACTCTAGGAAGTGCGTATGTGAATGGTTTCTTGTTTCTTCAGTTAGTGATTCAAACAAAACAAAGTCATTGGAAGAACTTCAACATTTAATAAGCAAAGACAGCAGAAAGGATAAATACATTAAGACCTCTACAACGGCTGTTAACTTTGTAGTAAATGATCCTCCAGAAGAAAAACACAAAAGTGTTTATGAAGGTATAGATCGTGTCCTGAACACTGAGTCTAAGAATTCGTTAGATTTTCCATCTGATAATTATACAGAAGACTGCTTTGCTGAAAATGAAGATGAATCAGACGATGAGGATGTCTTTTTCACTCCACCCAGTAGCTGCCATTCAACATGCTCGAGTAGTCCAGAAGAACTTGTTACACCAGAAGAAGCAATAGAAGTTTATGTTGAAGGGTAAGTTTTAGATGTATTCTAGAAAGAAAGGTAATGTGCTTCTAGAATATCTATACATTCATCAAGTAAGAAGCATTTCATAAAAAATATTTAAAAAAATTTTTGTGTTGAAGAATGATATCGATTAGAACACCTCCTCAACAGTTGTTATTTTATGAGACTTTCACAAAAACATTCATATGCTAGAGACATGAATTTCTAATTATTGCAAGTTAATCTTACGAAAGTCTGTGGTGTAATTTAATTCAGTTTGTCTTTCATCTGTGTCCAGAGGCTTTCTTTATTGATACATTAATTTCTAATTATTGCAAGTTAATCTTACAAGAAAGTCTGTGGTGTAATTTTATTCGGTTTGTCTTTAATCTGTGTCCAGAGGCTTTCTTTATTGATACATTAATTTCTAATTATTGCAAGTTAATCTTACAAGAAAGTCTGTGGTGTAATTTCATTCGGTTTGTCTTTAATCTGTGTCCAGAGGCTTTCTTTATTGCAGTTGGTACATTTTTCGAGCATAGATTCCAGCAAACCCTAGTTTGTTCAATGGGGTTACGGTCTGGTTTTGTGCTGGCCACTAAGTTTGTTGGAGATCTTCTGAGCTATTTTTCTATGTCAAATAATCGTATCACTTGTTAATAAATACCATTTAAAGAACTTGACTTGTGTATAGTGGTGTAGCCAAAACTAATTTTCAAGGAAAACCCTTTCTTAAACTAAACAAGGTTAGACCTATGTGCTAGTTTTAAACTCAGCCCATTAAGCTTATGTATTATATCAAGTTGTTACTTTGGCTGTTATTAAAGGAAAATAAAATAAAATTTCCTTGTGAAAACAACACTTTTAGTGTTTTTAATATTGAAAATCATTTGGGGGTGAGGTGCACTGCTTCCAACTAGAGGAAAATCAATAGACCACCTCTTCCCCCTTTCTTATCAACCCTTGTTACTTTAAAATATGGTACCACTGTACTGTTCAGAAGGGGACATTTTTTTACTAAGTAGAATTATAGTGCTGTTTTATAACTATATCAATTTAACCTATTATGTAACTCCTCGACTGACCAGTAGTTTTATTTCACAAGAATATTGTTAGTGTTATCAAGTAGCATTTCTTTGGTAAACTCAGTATAAGTATTTTACTTATTGCCAATCAAGATTTATTTGACAGACCGAGATTTAGTACACATTTTACAACATTAATATTGAATGGAGGGGAGAAAGAAGAGTTGTGGCATGCATTACAAAAATTTGCATATAGAGGGCAGCACTTTACACTATCAGTGCTTAAGGAAGAAACTACATGTTTCTGTATATCATAATCTTTTTAAGGTAGTGTGATTTTGAGGTGTCATATACACCCACTATACTTAGAGAAAACTAAAGTTATCAATGCCATTTCTATACATATTTCTAATGATCTGCATACTTGATATGTTTTACCTATACAAGAATGTTTGTTCGTGAACTCTTAGTATGACTGTGTCAAAGTAGATGGTTACATTAAAAAATATAATTAAACAACTTTATTATCAATGTATATCTATAATCATGACATGAAAACATAATTATAATTTAAATGTTTATGTTATCTAAGTCTAACTTCTTAAGTTCAAAAAGAAATATTTAAAAAAATCCCAAACTATTTTTATTTGTAACACATGATGATTTGCATGAGCGATACATTGGAATCAGTCAATTACAATGGAGGGGAGAAAGAAGAGTTGTGGCATGCATTACAAAAATTTGCATATAGAGGGCAGCACTGAACAAGAATAGTTATTTATGAGAGTACCTACTGGAAATACATTTTCAGTGTAGGAAATTTATAAATTCTGTGTCATATGATGTACCTGAGCTCTGAATCCTCCATTTCAGAATTTTCTAACTTCTAAAATAGGCTGTTACAGTCTCCTGAAACATAAACTGTACATAATTATAAGCAATTAAAATTTGAACTGTACCTTCTTTATTTCTTAATATATATCAATAAGTTTGTTTAACCCACCAGAAAAGCCCTACCCTCTGACTTTTAGATTGTTTGGTGAACAATTTTATATGGATGATGGACATGTTTTTATAACCAACAGAAAAAGCAGATTATCCTCTGGATTAAGCATACAACTGTCTGTTTGAATTTTTCAGGGAGAGTATTTACTTGATAGAAATGTCTTGTTGCGTGATTATGATTTTGCTGCTCTGAATGGTAATGGAATTTTAATCTATATGTAGTTTACATAGAAAACTGAATGTTCTAGTGGGTGGTATGTTATGTATTCAAAAACCTATATTTGAAAGCTACCTGAAATGTTTTTTTGGACACCAGAATTTTTGAGACTCAGTGAGGTTTAGCAGAGTATGTCATATTTTTATCTCTGTACAAATAGCTCAGATATGCAGTGAATACTAGAAGTCATTGTTGTTTATATATAGTTTTTATTTACTGTTATATATAAATATGTATAAAAAAATTAACTAAGATGTAAAAATTATAAGCTTCTCAGCTAAGCCTAACAAATCTTTAGTAAAATAAAACATCTGAAATTACGCTACTTTGAATTTTATAATGAAATACAAAACTATGTAATTGCTGTTATGTGAGCTCTATGAGAAACAGCAAATAAGCTCCCACTGTGATTTATTGCTTTTTATGCAAAGATTACTGTTCCAATGCAGAAGAGAAAGTGTATTATTGATTTTATTTAATATTTTTCAACTTTTCATTCCACTGTACATTAATAATTTCTTTACAGTTAGTGTTAGGATAAAGAAAGTAAGATATTTGAACTCTCAATTTACTATGTGTAACTCTACAAAATTTGTCAAGCTTTTAGTAAACATTATAAGTCTGATATATACATGAAAAAATATTTTCTAATACAGTATTTCTACTAAATATTCGTGATTTACCAAAGCCTTTACTGAGTCACTCTGAGAGAAAAGTAATGTTCAAATTTACTTGCATTATCTCAAGAAATATAAAAATGTTTTTGGTAAAACTTTTGGTATTTTGGTATTTTCATCTGTATAGTTTCACAGTTTCAGGGCTGGTCATATCGACCAGCTTTGTTCTTATAGGGTTAAGCTAACTGTTACCTTTCAGTCAATAGTTAGTTTGTACAAAAAAGAAAATTTTTGTGAAAAATTTAGAATTGCTTTTCAAAGTATCTATGAAAATGTTTTAATCACTGACTGGAAGGTTCTTGTTAAAATTTAGCAGCTTTGTGTAAGTGCAGTAATTTATATTGTAGATACGAGTGATTTTTGTTTCTCAAGCTTTCCTCTGATACTTTAGATGACTTTGTAAAAAATGTGTTAGAAAATATAATCAGACATTAGTCATTGCATTTTCTGTACACATGCAATTCAAAGGTCAGCTGGTCAGTAAGTAGTTGGAAACCTGTTTTTTTTGTGAAGACTAAAGAAAGTATTTATAATTATATTATATCATCATTTTCGGCTTTATTGGTGTATAATTATAAAAATGATTTTGGTCAAATGAAGTATCATTTCAAGATCATCTTCATAAGAATTTGTACTTAAATCTGTACATTACATTAACACACAAGAATTGGCTACCAGAACTTATTTACATTACAAGCTTAGTATTGGAAAGGAAAACATTGAGATGTAGTATTTGCATATGATTTGTTATTGCATCTCTTCCAAAAGTGTAATTTTCAGTTAGAAGTTTTTGTAAGCATTATTTTTATTGCCAATTGTGTGTACAAACAGTAATTTTTCTTTTCAAATTTACAAGAAGTGTTCATACGGTCCTGTTCTCCTGTTCATGAAAATGCTATTTTTTTTGCATAAATGATATTCATAGTGGTACAACCAGCTCAAATATTACTGTATTACTGTAATATTTAAATTTTATTATTAATTCTGGTATACTCTTACATTTAAAGTTTTGTATGAACAATATTTTTGTTTAAATGATATTTTCTGAACTTTTATAGGTGCATGCCTTCCAAGTTAGATGTCGATGTTCTTCATGCGTTACAAGATACTAATGTTGATCCACTTCTTTACCCTTATATCAGCCAGTGGAAAAACCTTGTCAGTTCTTTTTCAAAGGATATTGTTGAAAGGTGTGTATTTTACTACAAATTTGTTATAATAATGAAAGACTTAGATTATAAGAGGGACAGAAATGTAATATGGACTGACAAGTATATGTAAGAATAGGTGAGACAGTAGGTTTATATTGAAACTTTTTTCATAATCCCTGTTTCAACCCGTTATCGTATTAGATTAATATAACTATTGCAACCTGTAGTATACATTATGCAGTGATTTGAGGATAAAAAAACAACGTAAAAGTTGGAAATCTTGCGTTTTAAAAACAACTTAAAAGCTGGTTTAATTTGTGGTAATTTGTGTTACATATACTTAGAGAGATGAAGGTTATGGTTATAATTTTTATATGGAGATGGCTACATATGTCTCAACTATTCCAAAATATTTTTAATTGTGAATATAATGCTGTGGAGCTTAAAAGCTTAATTTAAAAGGAAGTAAATGCCACTGTATTTTTTCAAAATCAAAACTGTTTTATCCAATCAATTAACTCTATGCACATAGGTGCATCATAGTGCGAATGTTAAGACTTTTTATAGAGTTATGTTCAAAAGTTGTTTAAATAACCTTATTATCAATGTATGTGTCAATGAACTTGACATCATAATGTAGTTTATAATTCAAATTTTTATATCCTGTAAGATTTAACTTCTTAACTTTGCAAGGAAATATTTTATAAAAATTTGCAATCTTTAACCTCTGTGTTCTAAATTCTACTGTTTCAATTGTATATCTTCACTAATATGACTTTATGAGTGACAAACCAATAATGTCTCTCAAGGTTTTGCCAACTTGGAAGATTTAGGCTAGTCCGGAATATATATATATATATATTAAGCTAGCAAAGCAAAATAAGATCTCTATAATAAAAGATGAAATTTAAAATAATACCATTCAATATATTAAACAGTCATATTATTTGTTGTTATTTCTTTAATAGTATTGGTTAGACATTGCATTCTAATTATTACAAGTAGGAACATAAGAAAAACATAATTAGTTTCACTGATTGCCAGGTTCATTTTCAGTTTTTTCTGTAAGTACATAATTTGCCCTGATTGGGAGGAATATTAATTACATGTAATTGAGAGAAAGAATATAAAATTTGAACCACCTACCTTTTGATTTGATGAGATATCAATAAGTTTGTCAAACCCACCAAAGAAGATCTTCCTGTCAGTTTTGTCTTTTATGACACTTATATACTTATATTCTATACATGCTGATGGACATGTTTATAATTGATAGAAAGGGCAGGTTCTCCTTTACATAAACCTTATTACAGATGTTTCTTTATGGCAGGTATATGTCCACAATTTCCCGTAGATTCTTTGTCTGTGATCCTTGTAGAAGGCTAGATAAATTATTGTAGTTTTTGTTATCTATTATACTAATACACAGTTTTTGTCTGTCCTGAAAATATGCTTACACCTACCTATCTAAATACGTGTGAGTTCGCACTTCATTTCAAGGAATGTAAACAAAAAAAACTGATCTAAATACACTTTTGTTGACATTTTGTACATCAACATATTAAAAGCTTATCAAAGTTTTAAAAAGGTCTAATGTTAGGATGTAGAATAACATTATAAGTTTATTTATTGATAGTATTAAGTACAGTAAACTTTAGCCCTGATTAAACTAAAGCAAAGAACTTACACAAGCTATAGTGTTAATAATTTATCTCTGTATTGAATGTAGGCCATACTTAATTAAGGCTTAACTAATGTCAGGCCTAAAACAAGTGGACTTGTAAATTTCAATGTCTGCAATTAGATTTGTTTTTGTTATTCTAGAAATCCTATATTTAAAGATGGAGAAGTACTGTTTCAATATTGTTAGTAATTTGACCACAAATGTTTTGCAGGTTTCTGCTAGTAAGTACATATTTGAAAGCTACAAGAATTATTTTTTGACAACCATCTTTGAAAAAAGTTAGGATTAAGTATAGACCAACATCCAAAAGCAAAATGCTTGAAACCTGGAGTAAATGCTAAATTTCTTGTTTTTTCATATATATTTCTCTTTATTGTTTTACATATTTTTAAAAAAAAGTAAATAAAATGTAAAAATTAGGGACTACTTAGGTAACAGAAATAAGATTTAATAAGCTTAGGAATGCAAGCTTGCCAGCATAACGTGATTGGTTTGTTTACTTTATCTATGGAGAGAAGTAGATATGGGCTCTCGCTGTGCTTTATTGCTTTTCACAGACATAAATAGCTTTCCTGTAATAAAGTCCAGCAATAAAACAATAAAATTAAAAAAACGTGTGTAAAGGTTAACACTTGAAATTGTGAAGGTAGGTAATTTGAAACTCTCGATTCAATTATGGATTCAAAGAAGAAGAAGGAAAGGTATTATTCACATTATTTTGGTTTTTTCAACTTTTCATTTACATTGCTAATTTCACTGCAATTAGTGTTAGAATAGAGAAAAAAAGAGATAAATAAAACTTTAACTGACTGTACTTCAGATATTCATTTAGGAAGTCCCAGAGGTTATACAGATAAAATATGAAAACTGTAAGAAGAAAAAATATATTCTTAACATGAAAATAACCTTCACTCATACCAATTTAGTAAAAGCTTTATAAACAGACAAATCTTTAATAAAAACTATTAAATATTTTACTAACCCCTGAATGTGATTAGGTCAAAATGGGCATGACAACTTTTACAGAGTTACGTTCAAAATTTAATAATTTCTTTATTATCAATGTATATAAATAAACTTGGCATCAAATTTCAATAATGTATAAGTTTTAAATTTTTATTTCAAAAGGAAATGTTTGAATAAATTTCAATATTTATTTATCTGTATCATGGGACATTTGTTTGCTCCGAATTACCAACATATGATGTCCTGAGTTTAGTATAATTACACATATATATTATAGATGTTCCAAGGCATAGTCTAATTTCATAGCCTCCAGTCTTCTTAGTTTATGGAGATATAACCAGAATGTCAAACCCACTTGACATTTACCCTCTTATCACATCCTGTCTCACACTAAATATCAATAACTGGCTGTGATGTTTGATCTTGGAGTATTTGTAGCCAATAAAAAGGGGATATTTTGATTTGACTTGCATGTAAGTCTAACTTGTAATGATGATAATGTTTGAATCATTCAGCCTACTGATTCATTGTTACTATTGCTGAGTTCACATTGACCAGGCAAGTGGATTATTTTAAGGCACTTATACGTTAGTTAGTAAGACAGTTAAATTATAATAATTACAGAACATTGTATGCTTTATGCATACTATTATTTTGTGTTCTTATCTACATATTTGAAATAAATAAAAAATATTTTATGTATTACTACCATTGTTACAAGAAAAGTGCGATTAAGATTCATCAGAGGGTTGAATGGGGGAAAAAACAAGAGGCCAGATGCAAGTACCAAATTTCTTGTCTTTTATGTATATTCTTTATTTCTTGGTATAAAAGTAGCTAAAATGTATAAATTAGAAACGTTTTAAGTGAGATAAGAAAACATAAATGGAAAAATAAAAACATATTATCAGTGAGGTCTGCATGCAAGCTGCACGTTCTTTACTTAATTCAATACCTCAACTTGAGCTGTGTGTTCACCATGTTTTTATACCCTGTTATTTGGACTTAGTAGTTAAAAATGAGCAATAAAACAATAAAACTAAATAAAAACAGATACAAAATGCTACAAGCCGGAGACTGTTTAGGGTAAATAATTGTAATTTTCTTTTACAATCTTCAGTTATTGTAGAAAGAAACAAGGATAATTTAGATTTTACTAAAGAAGAAGAAAAATTCATTTAAGAGGTTCCCTCTCCTTAATGACTTAGCAGTAAGTCTAAGGGGCTTTAATGCTAAAAATTTGGTTTCAGCACAGGTAGCCCATTGTGTAGTATGGGATTAACAACAAACAATCATTTAGGTAGTTCTAGAGGCTATGCAAATGTAAGATGAAAAAATATTTGTAATCTTAACATGAAAATCATTTGGCACCCAGACTAGTCAAAGTCACAACCTGATTTCATAAATTCACAGACAAATCTTTAGTGAAAGTACTTTATTAAAAAAACCTGATTTCTTTTGTGTGCAACAGGTTTGTAATGTTAACTAAAAGCTTGTCAAATTCTGTGAAGATAAACTCAGTATATTTATAGTTATCATGAACCAAAATAGTTGTTCATAATAAGAATTGCACAGGAATTTCACAAAGTTCTAATAGAACATACGGCAAAAACCATCTTAAAAAGCAGACCTTCTATCTCAATGGCTAAGACTGCTAAAATATTGAAAATAGCAAAAAAGTTGAATTTCCATTGTTAGACAAAATTCATCCATTTGTTCTTCATATTATTATTATTCATATTTTTCTTGTTTCACAAGCCTTAAGAAAAAACAGCTACGAATATTTTTTCACATGTGGGCTGACCTATTAAAAACACTTCTGTGCAGGTCATATGACTATTTTTGTGTTGATTCTTGAAAGAGAAGGAGAAATTTGAACAGTTTTTATTGCTACTGGCCAAGTTTCTTTTTGAAGCCATTCAAGCATCTGAGCCTACAGCAAAAACAGCTAGTTACACTGTGCCAAAATCTATACACAGCTGCTAAACAAACTCCTGCAAAGGTTGTAAGGCTAATTTAAAGCTGATTCTTGAAATCAAGATTTCCACCCTTTAAAATTTTCTATGTTCTTCACTACCAACATAAGCTCTTCGAAGCCATTCAAGCATCGCAGAAAGGTAGAAACCATTTAAGCACTGTTATACTTGTTGGAAATACTTCATTTTATTAGAATAAACAATGTGTATATTTATAATAGTGTTTTCAGCTTTGTTGTTTTTTATTCTGGTTTTACAAACCACTTCAGAAAAAACGGCTATGAATATTTTACTGAAACCTGGATGCTAGTAATAAATGCAGTATTGAGTATGCCATGGGGTAGTTTTAAAATTAATTCAAGCACCTTCATTTTTTTTGCCCTGAAGAATTTCTCTAAGTCCTTCACTTTCTGCCATTAAAAAAATCCGGTGTTTTACTAATGTGCATTAATTGGAAAATAATTAGTGCAAATTATAGCACATTAATTGGGAACTGCCATGTTGAGGATTCATCATTTCTCAAGTTTGCTATTCTTCATTGTTTCGCTAGTTCACTGTTGTACTTTGTCTCTGCATGCTTTTCTGCAACTATTTCAGTGAGTTTTCTAACAGTAGACGATCACCATAGTAGATTTCTCTACTCTTGTAAGTGGTGATTTATTGTACTGATTTTCATACTTTGCTGAAATCTTAAGTGCATGTTTCATATTTTTGTTTCCAAAATCTGCTGAGTATTTTGCACTAAACCCTAGATAGATATACTATATGAAAAGCTGCAAAAAAGTTGATTACTTTTCCTTTCAAGTTGATTTACATGGCTATGAATACATAATATGTGCATTGTTGTTGTGGCGGTTTCCTTTGTACTTGGTGCTTATCAAACGCATGTTTACACAAAACCACCTGGTTCAGTAATTAATGGTTGGGTGGAAAAGCAAATATAGCAGTAAACTGTTGAAAAACATGTAACATTCAACTGAATGTATTTGCACATATGTAGCTTGAAATTTATTCTCCTGAAATGGATGTAAAAAACTTAAGAAACAAGATAATTAAAAATTGTTAATTTAAAAAGTTGAATACAGATAATCAAAACAGAACAGAAACAAGTTGAATCAAAATGCAAAGATTATACTTTCAAGCCTACAACTAGGGACTCAAAAAAGTAAACAAAGTAAGCTGGAAATAGTGTCTATATTATTTTCTCAAGCTACAAATCCCTATTTTGACTCCACTAAAATTGATAAATACTGTAAACATGGAGTTCCTAGTTGTAGGCTTTAAAATATAATCTTTATATTTTGATTCAACTCGTTTCTGTACTTTTTTGGATGATCCCTATTCCCCTTTTTTAAACTAACAATTTTTAATTATCTTGTTACATGGTGGTTACAAGGTCTATCAAGTTGGTCAGTCTTGTATACAGATGTTGAGATATAACTTACAGCTTGTATAGATTTGGTCAACACTTTACAAATTACAGAGACTTAGCATTTTAGTGCATGTTTTTCTGGAAGGAGAATATTATAAAATTAGTCTTGAACATTCTAGTAGCAATTGTTACAAAATATTGTAGTATGCTTCTATATGTAGTATACTTACTAAATTTTATTTTTTTCAGTTGGCCTAGTCCCACAAACCCAAGATATGGACATTGGAAAACTGTTTTCTCTCCAGTTGTTTCTACCCCTCATTCTGCTCTAGTTGATTCTAACTTCAAAAGACAATATAGGCAAAATAGTCCAATATCACTAACTCCAAATAAACAGCTTACAGTGCCGAACCAACGTATCCATAATACTGCAGCCATCATCGCCCAGCCTCGTAACCTGTACGAAAGTTTCCTTGGGTGGGAGGAGACAAGTGGAGATTGAAGTCATCTTTTTAATTTTTTTTTAAATGCCAGAAGCAATGATTTTGTGATTTGGATATATGCTTACAGTAGGTATAATTTTAAAAGTGTAAGAAAATCTTTGTTGCTTTTTTATTAGAAGTTCAAGTTTATTTAACTTCTGATCTAACTTTGTTTTCTGAATTGACAGTCCTGTTGTTGCTTTTACTTCTGGTCTTGCCATCATGGGTAATCTTATCTATGGGAGTTATGTATGATTCATGATTACAGTACATAAGTATAAGTAAAGCAGATTACAGTACGAACTTTATATATGTTGATAAAACAAATTAAAACTGTTAAAAAGGTTGTAATGATTTTTTTCAATATGTGCAATGTATTTTAGGCATTACACTTGTATTTGTTTTTCTACTTTTTGAAAGTAAAAATAGAAAAACGAAACCTAAACTTGATTCTTCTATTACTTTGAGCAGTTGATCAATTTATGCTTTGTTTTTTCAAAGCATCTGCTAATAACTTTACAGTTTATTAAACTTCCTCCAAACAATTAAATTACATATTCTTAGACTTAAAGACTAGGAAACTTAAGTATAAAATGAGAATTCATCTTTGTGTCTTTCTCACCTTGTATCATTTGTGTTCATAGACAGTAGTAGCATGTGTTCATGAGTAGTTCTTGTTTGTTCCTGGTAATCATTCTTGAAGTATTGTTTTCCTTGTTTCGTCAGAAAGCAGTAATGAAAAATATTAATTATTCCTCATTTTTTATTTGTCTGTTTAAAGTGCAACTTTTTAGTAGTCATGGCAAAAGCAAGGTTGCCAATAAATACGCATTTTTTTAAAGAGTTTAAGTATTTGTGATTGATAAAAATGATTCAGAATTTCTTAGAATTGTTTCTTTTTTGTATACGTTTTTCAAAATGTGCAGTCTCTTGCCATAAGTTCAGGTGAAAACTTTTGGAAAAGGGGTTGATTCAAGGTAATTAGGCCATGCTTTTGGAAGAGTTTAACTTTAGAATTTTTTTCCAGGTTTTTATTTAGCTAGAAACCAAATTTCTTTTTTTTATTTGCAGGTCTTTATTTAACTAGAAACCTAATTTCTTTTTTTGTTTGGGGGGGGGGGTAATTAATGCAGAATTTATCTTTTTACAGTAATTATCTCAGGCATATATCATTCTTATCTAGGGAATTCCAGTCTTTTTTTAATTCACCTCACTTTTCTTATTTGCGATGTATCGGGGTTAATGATCCCACTCCACCTATTCTTACCTTTCTCATTACATACACTATGAAGCAAGCAGGTTTACCACCGTTAATTAACCTTTCCGTAAAGAAAATAGATTGACTCTCTTTTTTTTTTTTTTAACTGTAGTTATGAATAGCTATGTTGGATATACTAAAAAAATATATATATTGAGGAATCTTTAACCCTAACTTTCTTGTTTCTTAAGGTTTGTGTTGTCATATCTCATTTGGCACATCTCAAGGTGTTTTAGGATCCTTTTAATAGCTCCCTCCACTCTCCCAGTACCTCAGTTGTAGTCTGAGGATGTATGATACTGAAAATCAGATTTTGACACCTGCAGTGGCTGCAACGCAGATAGCCCATTGAGTAGCTTTACACTTAGTAACAGACAAAAACGTTTTTAATAGGGAAGGTTGTTAATGCACATTAAAAAGAAGACATATATAGCAACTGAAAACAAGATATTAAGATATTAGCCTGAGCTAACACGTATCATAAGGCTGGTTTCTCATCTTTGGTAGTGTTTTGTTGGGTTTTTTAAAGTGCTATTTTAGAAGAGGAAAGTCAGTTTCTTTTATGATAAACAAATGTGTGTCACAATGATAAAGCAAAACACAAATGTGATAATAAGAAGCATTTATTAAATGTTTTGGAATCATTATAATTCCATTCTCAGTAATCTAAAGTGTATCATATTCTTCTTCGTTGTGTCAGAGGTTAAAACCTAGATGTTTGCTGCTATTAAGGACAAATTCATTACTCTCATCATCAAATTAATTTAGAAAATAGCTTACTTCAAGTTTTTTCCAAAATTCTCATTTAGGCCTATCATCTACATAAACTTCCTTTTCGCTTTCTAACATGTTTACCTTTTTTTATAGATTAAGTTTCCTTTTGCAGTGTGTAATTTGTTTTCATTCAGAAACCATTATTAATTGTGATTACTTCAGCTTTTTCTTCTTCTTCTTCTTCTTTTTTTTTTTTTTTTTTTTTTTTTTTTTTGTTGTTGTTGTTGTTGTTGTTGTTGCTGCTTCTATATGTTTGTAGTAGTCACTATATCTTTATGTAGGCTAGAACTGTAGTTTCCAAACTTTTACAAGTCAGGTTTTTATGGTAATGTAGCATCTGCTCCAACATTATTGGTAGAAGAACTACATATACCAGCTTGGTCTGAACGTGTTGCTGCATATTGTGTTGTGGTTTTTATTGTGTGCACTACATAGCGTATTGCTTCTATTTAAAATGGGTCAAAACCTTTGAATGAAAACTATCATCTGAAATCACCCATCTGTTGACTGGGCTGCCCCTCTCTACTTAAGTGAATTTTGTCATATATATACCTGTATAATTGAAACCATTCTGAATGACTTGAATTTCTGTTCATGTTTTATCCATGAGTGTAGAGAAATCTTTTTTTGCGTATGCTGTGTGTTGGTCCCTCTGAACTGTCATGAAACACTTGTGTATTGTGTGGTACGTAGGGTGGCAGCTTGGGTACAGTGATGTTTTCTTCCATTGCTTGAGAAATTAGCTCAGTTATGATGTGACCAGTATAAACTTTGTAGACATAAACGTGGGTCTTTAAAAGTTTGGAAATGAGGGAATAAGCAGTTGCTTAAGATATCTTTTTTCATCCATCTGATTTTAGAAAATGAATATCTTTGAGCAACCTTCAGAGACCAACTATTGTATCCCTTAAGTTTTTACCTTCAGAGGCCAACTATTGTATCTTTAAGTTTTCCTTTGAACACAATACTTTGGGCAACCTTCAGAGACCAACTATTGTATCCTTTAAGTTTTTCCTTTGAACACAATACTTTGGGCAACCTTCAGAGACCAACTATTGTATCCTTTAAGTTTTTCCTTTGAACACAATACTTTGGGCAACCTTCAGAGACCAACTATTGTATCCTTTAAGTTTTTCCTTTGAACACAATACTTTGGGCAACCTTCAGAGGTCAACTATTGTATCCTTTAAGTTTTTACCTTCAGAGGCCAACTATTGTATCCTTTAAGTTTTTCCTTTGAACACAATATTTCAGATACTACAAATTTTGCTAATGCTATGTTGTTTTCTCTTTATCTGGTCATTGTGTTATGTGCATACAGAGCTCCATTTCAGCTCCTGTTAGTTCAGATTCTGATGAATCCTGGGAGAAATGGTTCGCTTAGGTTGATGATTCACACTAAAGCATCCTCAAACTTCTTATTTTAATATTATTTTCCACAAGTTGGAAAAAATCTTACACTCTAAAGGATTGTTTGCTTGTCTCTGGCATATTGTAGGTTTTCTGGAACTTTCAAACTGTTCTTGAGCAGGATGGTTATCTGTGAATGGAGTTTTAAGTTTTAGAGAAAGAACATATAATGGCATAATACCAAGTTCGTGTCTCCACTGCTCAAGCTTCTGTAAATAAGCAGCCAACTGATATGGAGATGGATATCTCTCCACAACATTTTTTTTGCCAATTTTCTCCTTTTAAAATGTATGTAAAGTGGATATAAGAATATTAAAGTTTACCATTGCACAACACACTGATAATTCACTTGCTAACACCCTATTTCCTTCATCTGGCCTTTGTGATCTTCACCTCTAAAAGTCTTTTGTAACTTTGAACTCTCTTCCCCTATGGAAACCAATCCTTTATAGATCAACGTCTGTAACAATAAAAGAACTGTTTATCAGTGCCAAAAAAGTTCTGTAATTGAGCAAGAATGAAATAAATAGCTGTGGCCCAGATTCACAAATAGAAAGTTGTACAATAGTATCTAATGATCCTAACATAAAACTTTTGAGTCTACAACCTGTCACAAGCTCTTTTGTAAGTTTTATCAATTCTTTTGGTCCATAACAAAATTTTGACTCTAGTCTCTACTTGTATGCTTACTCTTGTGTGCCAAACAATAACTGTCTTACCTATATTTTTCTAGTAAATTTTCCTAATCCAGTACAGCAAAACTATGTTGTCATAAAAAATACATTTCATTATAATAGTGAACATTATGGTCTGATATTGCTAGGTAATTGAAATAAGGTAGATACAATATATCAAATCACCAAAGAAGTACTATTTAAAATTCATTTAGAGTGGGTAGTGGTGGAGATTGGAAATGCTTAGGTTTCCATAAGTATTTAATCCAGCCATGTCTTGAGGTTATCAGCCTTACATGATAGTGTTTCATAACTTTCATGTAAAGCCAAGTTGTTTTTAGTTTGATATTAATATCTTCAACTATCATATCAAAGCTATTTGTAGTTAGGTCATTTACTGCTGTTTATCATTTTTCTGTTTTTAACTCTGGCTTATTCTTGGATCTTAGGGAAATTTTGTTTGCCTTATTTTTGCCTCCAGTGATTTTACCTTTTTCGTCAGGTATTTGTTTGGGATTTACACATAATTTTTATGGATACAGGTCTTGTACTATGATTACATGCAACAGTGTAAATCAAAAACTCTTATCCACCCAATGAATGAAACAATTTACTTGGAAGAGACTTTTAGCATGAGTTTCTTTCACAATTTCAGGATTTTTTTTTCTTTATAAAACATTTTATAAAGTAAATGTAATTTACAAACTTTTATTGTACTTTTTCTTATACTTCCTTTTTTTTTTTTGTGCTGTTTGATAATGTGTAAATAATTGTCATGAGAGTGTAATACTATTATACAACAAACTTTATTATACACTCATTCTTTAAACCACATGGCTGTTTGATTTAAATCTAGACTTTTCAACCAATATTTAACATTTCCACACATAGATGAATATAGTATTGGAAGTAATTATGAGAAGAGTGAATAAAATAGGTATGAACAGCAAATGTTTTTGGATGGCTCTCCTGGAATGTATTGAAATTAACTGCACCATATCACAGACACGTGTTGATAATTTTCATTGTGATCATCTGTCATACCAATATAATGCCAATAAAAGTGCAGCAGTCATATTGTTCCCAGCAGTAATGTGATGAATGCATTAATAGCTATCAGGACAGAAATGCCAAATGACAAACATATAGAGCTCAAAGCTCTCTGCGGCCCGGCATGGCCAGGTGGTTAGGGTGCTTGACTCGCAATTTGAGAGTCGTGGGTTAGAATTCCCGTCACACTTAACATGCTCGTCCTTTCAGCCGTGAGAACGTTATAATGTGATGGTCAATCCCAATATTACGTCGGTAAAAGAGTAGCAAAAGAGTTGGGGGTGGGTGGTG